CCCACGCGGATGCAGAGCGCACGAGGGCTTGGGGGGCCGGGGGTCCCTCTCGGCCAGCACTTGCCATGAGCGCAGAAGCACAGGAGGCTGGATGGGCAACGCTGCCCCTTTTCAGGGGTCTGGCAAAACCCTCGGTGCTCTCTCAAGCTTTAGATAATAACCACGCACTCAGGTTTGTGGTTTACACTTAAATTTCCCTCCCAGGTGTGGAACGTGGAAAAGGAACCCCTGGACAAGGATGGGCTGTTTGCCACCCAAGGCAACACGCTGTGCCTGTGTCACAGCTCTCCTGCAGCTCGGACACAGCTGATGATCTTGTGCCTTCCACTGACAGGTCAACAGCTCTGTTTACTCACAGTAGTATTTTGTTTAACTGTTTTGTTTTAATTTGACTAAAGCAAAAGGATGTTTTGATTCTGCTTTGGTTCAGGGGAAAAAAAAATAGGATGTGACTTATATCTGCTTTTGTTTTCATGCCAGCTTCAACCCCACACCTATTTTAAAGCTCCCAGGCCTCTTCCTCCTCTTTTTAAACATGCCAAAACCTGAAGTTACAGGAGCATCTGTTGAGTGCAGCCTGAAGAGATCGGCAGGGATCCTGTGACACGTTGTTTTTTAGTTGGACAGAGTTGAGCATGTAGGGGAGGGAGGCAGGATTTGAAGGAGAGAGAAAGGGACCTGCATAACACGATAAAATAGGGAAGACACTGAGCTATGAGGAAAAAAATAAGGGAGAAATTAAGAAGGTGACATCTGGGCCAGTAAGCGCTGACCGAGGGGCTGTCAGAGAGCAGCTGGCACAGCCTGTGCAATGGTGTGAGGGGAATACTCAGCCCTGGGAGGAGGGAGAGTCAAGGGACGGCCGCTCCTTACACAGGTCAGCCTCACACTTCCTTTCAAAACAAGAGCGGCTCAGTCTGCAAATGCATCCGTGTTTGCGTGGTATCTAGGAAGCATCTGATCCATCTGCTCTTCCACTTAAGAATATGGATGATGAGAAAGTGACTGGCTCGGCTCCAGCAGGAGCAGGAAACTCCCTCCTCTGCTCATTGTAATGTGGGGAAGCGTCTGGGAGGGCACCTGCAGCCCCTGGAGCAGCCAGCTTTCCGACAGGGCACTTCCCGGGGCTGCTGCCTTAGTCCTCAGGGGTTTTGGCATTCAGATGGAGAAGAGATCAGCCCAGCCTTGGAGATGCCAAATCATATTTCTCTGCAGATTTTTGGCTGGGAGTACAAAGATGTTTTTCCAGCTGCTGTAATCGGAGCGGTATCAGGAACAGAAAAACTATCTCGTGGAAAGGTGAACAGATTTCCAGCTCTCACAGTGTTAGGTAAGAGCTCAGAAATGAGGCCAAGAAAAAAGAGTTTGAATCCTTGTAACTTCTACCCCAAAACTGAAACCTGACATGGCAAAGAGCTGACATAGTTCTACTAAAAAACATTCTCAAAAGAGCATGATAAATAGATCTATACAAGCTCTGTCTGCCTAAACATCCCCAGTTTCTTGGATTTCTAGACAAAATGCCATCTCCCTTGAATTTAACTCAGAAGGTCTCAATGCAGTTATTGAGCTTGATTTCCAAACCCTTTCCTAAGACACCTACACAACTTGAACTTGGAGATCCAGAGGGTTCCTAATTTAACACTATTGTATTCACCTGAAATCATCACGAAGCACTAAGTGCCATTACCACGGGCACGGAGTCTGGGGTGGGGGAGGCTGCTTTGTCGATATGGGCACAGCAAGAGCAGCTGAGCACTGCAAAGAGCTGAAGCCCCAGTGAGTCACCCTCAGAGGTGAGATCCAAGAGTTTATAAACCGACATAATGAAACAGCACTTAAGTGACGTGAGCTTTCTCTGAGCAGCTTTGAATGTTTACCACAACTGATAAGCAAATAGCAACACCATTACTCCTCTGTGGCAGCTCCTACCCAAGATGGATGTGATGCACAAGAACCGACAGTTAAAAACCTTTAATGCTTTGCACTAAGACCTGGGTTGATTTGTTCTGTTTCACCCACTCGAGAACAGCCATTCTTCAGGCATTTGCTGCTCCAGGATGGCTCACTGGGTGCTATGTCAGGCAATGTCCAGAATACTCATCCAGCTGCTGGAAGGTGGCCAGATCCAGGACCGCTTTGGATCAGATCAGAGGGGCACACTCACAGCTTTCCCTCCCGACCCCAGCCTGCAAGAGGCAAATTCTTTACCAAGGCACAAGCAGCTTACGTTCCCCATGCTTTGGCTGTCACAAGGGTGAAGCTTTTCTGCTCAGACACTGTTTTCTCAGGTACTTAATTCGTGCACAGTAAGTTCTCACAGGTCAAAGGACTTTCCCGTGTCCTCAGTGTGTTAGAAAGTCTGTCTCGCCCAGTATCCTGTCCCCAGCAGAGCCAGGAACAGACACCAGAAGGGTGTTACAGAGAAAATGCAAAGTCTGTGCAGACTTCCCTTGGCTTTACCTTTTGTGTGCAGAGTTCCTGGAAGTCAGTGAGGTCAAGAGGCTGCATCCAGCTGACGAGCCTTCCTACAAACACATTAATTTGCTGGATTTGTTTGAATCTCACCAGTTTATCTGCTCAGAGGACAGCCAAAACCATGGACCCCTTTTGAGGATCAGGGTGGCACCCGAGTTCCAGCAAACCTTGGTATGAGAAGTGGACTTCCGAGCAGCTTGGGGTGCGTTCTGACAGCTGTGTTTTATTACAACAGCTTTACAAGCAATTGCTACAGCAGCATTAGCAGCATCATCTACTGGGACAGCACCACACGAGCTCTTCGTTACCCTGGAAATGGGAATTATCAGTTCTAGATTAGGCAAAGCAGCACAGATGGAATCCTGCCCTCAAACCCCCAAAGACTTGAGTTACTGGCTTCAGTCACTGCTCCCATATCTCTCTTTAGGACTGTGGTATTTGAGCAACTTAAAAGTCGCATTTCTTCTCAGGGTGAGGTGGGTTTGGCTGCAAAGAGCCAGCACGGAAACTATTTGGCTGCCTCTGAGATTGTTTAGCTATTATTGTGGCATTTCAGCTCTGTAACGATCACATGCCTCTTTTGCATTGGCATCCCTCTTTTCTCCATGAAGTCCTTGTTGAGCTTGGCAAGTGCTAGATGTGTTTTTATAAATAAACCACCAGCATTCCATACGGGACTGATTCCCAAAACGAAACCCTCACTGCTTAGAAAGTGTATTATTGGAGGATAGATCATAAATAGAGATGAAGGCAGCAGAGCAGAGCTGTTCTTAGCTATGCTGAGAACAAACCAAACTCCTTCTTTCTGCTAGGATAGCCTCTCCTGGTTTTCCACCTCCTGATTAATCCACTGTCCTGTCCCTCCTTAGTTTGGAATTTTATTATATGAAGTCCTGCCAAATTCTCACAGGGCACCGTGAAGAGCTAAAATGAATTCAGTCCTTAATATACTAATTTTTATACGCTTTTTACTTTCCTTTTAACCTCAATTAAAGCTTATCCTGGTGAACTTTAGGCAGTTGTGGAGAAAAAACGCAGCGCTAAAGGATTTGGTGGAAGCAGTTGGAGGGCAATGACATAGTTAAACCATCATCTGGGTTTATCTCTTTTACAGAACATCACTTCCCGGGCCTCCCTGAACTAGTTTAACTCTCTCTACACCAAAAGCAACTAAAACAACCCACACTGGCCCCAGCACTGCCGGGTTTTGCTCAGCTCAGCCATTCCCAACCCTCTGCTCAGCTCTGAGGGCTCCGGGTGCAGCCCCAGCAGGGACACTGCTGTTCCCTGCTGCTGATCCCTGCTTTCCTTCCACTCCATCCAGCTCCCTCCACTCCTGGATGTGCCAGTGCAGCTGTGGGCAAGAGCACCCTCTAGCCTCTTCATTCCAAATAATAACTCCAGCTTAAAAACCATCAACCTCCAACTTTTCTAGCCCAGCAAAACAACAGACACTGAATTTGTCAACAGTTTGCCTTTCTGAAGCCTCACATGCCATACATTAAATTTTATACTGCCACTAATACACATATACCTCAAATTCCACTGTTTTAAAAGGAACAAGCTGCCCACAATCCTTGACAGAGGCATTTCCTGACAGAGCAGATGCTTCCCAGGAGAAACCTGAAAAAGGCCCAGCACAGTCACTACATTTACAGCCACGGGTAATGCTGATTTGAACTTGGTTACCATGACCATGAATGCACACCAAGCTGGGGAGCTGCCTTACAAACCTTAACAAAAGCCAGTTTTGTTCATTTCTCTGTGAGATATTGTGCAGCTCTGTGAGCCCAGTTGTAACTACAGACCCCAAGAACTTGTATTTATAGTGTTGCCCCTGGAATATTGGACAGCCAGACGTTCTTTCTCAAAGGCCTGTGATGCAAAGGCAGCACTGGGCATGAGCTGACTGGGGCAGTGCCAGCTTCCCAGCTTCCCAGCACCTCACCTGTGCAGAGGAGGGATAATGAACTTCCATTGTTTCTTCATCCTTTGGCTTCGCAGCTGAATCCCAAATTCTCACAGTTCATCTACTGAACCTCACCTGTACCTGATCTCAAATAAATCAGCTGCACACAGCACTTGTTTGCATCACCCACATTTCAAAAGCAGCAACTAGAGGTCCAGCAAGGTATAGCAAACCACCTTTTTCTTTCTTTTTTTAAGCAATCCCACCTTGTTTTTTGAGCTGTTCTGGCCCTTGGCAGCAGGAGAACACACTCACACTGAGCTCTGCCTTGCACCCAAGCAGGTGTGGGGTAGGACTGCAGGCAGCACAGAGTTCTGTCTTAGGGGGAATAGGAGAGGAAAGGACAAGTCTGCAAGTCTGGGATAGAGGGCATGGATAGCAAGGAGGCTCAGCACCAACTTAATTGCAGATTTTGTGAATGCAGAAAGCTCAGGTCAAAGCTGCAGTGCCATTTCAAACAATAAGGGCTTATTTACTGCTTAGGCCACATCCCAGGAATGCTGGGAATACGTAAGGAAACACAAGCAACTGAAGTAATTGTGAAACAGTAGGATTTCACAAATAAAACAATCAGCATTTATTGTTGTATTACAAAACACTTCATAGTTTGGCAATATTTTACAGTTTATCCTTTTCCTTCTTAGGGCCTGTTGAAAAGGTATGGGGGGGAAAAAAAGAGGAGAATGTTGAAATTAAGATTAAATTTCAATGTCTTGCTTAAAAAAAAAATCCTCCCAAACCACCCCAGTCCCTCCCACCAAAATAAAAATCTAGTTTCACTCAATTCCACTATCCAAAGAGGCCATGGGTGAAGCTGCAGGCAATTTCACTATCAAACGCATCAAGAAGACAAACAAAACATTCACAGTGGTCTTCAGTATGGTCTGTTGCGTTGATCATTTCTGAAGTCATTTCTGGAAGGGAAAGAGAAAGTTATAAGCAAACGACAAGTTAAGCAAGTAACAAACAGTCCCTTCAGTCAAACATCTCTACGCTGACGTCTGTGCGCTGCTCTGTGTTTAGAGAGCCTCGTCCAAACACGCTCACAAAACACACTCAACTGACAAACTGGGTTATTTTCTCCGGAAGCTCCTCTCTGTAGTTAATATTTTCATAGCAGAGTTGTGCCTGCACACATAAACAACCCTTTTCCCACAGTCCCTCTCTCAGTTCCACAGTCTGTTTGCTCCACAGCCAAGCACCTCTTACCTTCCTCCCATTTTGCCCCCATAGCCACCTCCCCGATCGCCGCCTCGGCCCCCGCGCCCTCGGTAGCCTCTTTCTCCTCCATAGCCACCTCTGCCACGGAAATCTGGGGCAAAAGGCAAACAGGCACATCAGTCAGGCTTTGCAGAAAGATGCAGGTGACACGAATGCTTTGAACACTTAAGAGATGTGGCTGTTTTTACACACCTCCTGGAGGACGTGAATCTTCTGGTCTGGGCTCACCACACTGGTTGCAGGAGTTCCTGCGAGCGAAGTTCATGTTGCCACAGGACCTGGAACAGACAAGGATTCCCCAGATTGAGCTGTGAAGAAACTCCAAGAGCACACATGAAGCACCCCTGCCCGATTAAAATGACACTTACGGGTTAGGACAAACCCAATCACCATTTTTGGGTTCCCCACTTCTACCCTGGAAGCCCCCACCTCTTCCATATCCACCTCGTGAACCTGCAGACAAAATTATAATCAGAATAAAGGAGGGGAAGTGTCTATGACCTGCACATGAGAAACATTTATTAAGGACTGTCACTGGCTTCAGAACCCAAGTGACAGACTTTTCAGGTGGAAGGAGTATTTAATTGTAAATATATCCCCACTGTTTATCATAAATTCTTTTTCAGCAGTAAAGGGAAACTTGATCTGCTTGAATTGCCAATGGGTAAATATAAACCCACTATGTGCATTAATAAAGTTTCAGAAAGATTTAACAACGTATAATGTTAATCACATATGGCCAGACTTAGTCACAGAACAAAAATTTAACAGAAAGCTGTCTGGATTAATGCCAGGATGCCTCTGACATGAGCACTGGGACAACAGTCTTGTTTTCTGCACTACAAAGATGAAGAACTTTTATACAAATTAAAGTTCTTGAAGAATCATTTTCAATCAGGCCTATCTGCCTGATTTAAAAACTAAAATTTGTTGACAGCCATTACCCAAAGCATGATTCCTGGAAAATGGGAATGAATATCCAGTGGACTATTGACAAAACTGTACATGCAGAGAATCAAGGACACTCTTTAATTAAAGGAGTCAGACATTCAACAGCTGCTCTGAGTCAGTAGCAGTTGAATAATGTACCCTGCTTAATACCAGCTGGAAACATCAGAGTATCTCAAGGCTTTGCTGTAACAAGCAAATGCTCACTGGGAATTCACACCTATGTACGTGGCACTGGTACAGCCTCAGCATCACTGTTACACTCTCTCTTTAAAAGCAACACCGAGACAAGATCTGGAGACTTTCCAGTTCTAAAGGAAAGCATAAATTCTGTGCTGTGCAAAAGAGATTACTGATTTCAGTTTACTCAACTTGGTTCAGTCCTTATTACTCCCTTTCCTGGCAGAATCCCAAAGGCTCATATATTTGATGAATCACTGCTTCAAAGTCAACTTCTCTTTCATAAGTCAATCACAGTTAAAAAGCATTTAACAATGCAAAAACAAGGATTCTACAGATTTTAGTCCCACCTCGGCGTCCTCCACCTCCACCTCCTCTCATGAATTCAGGCCTTCTAGTTGCAAAAGAAACTTTGATAACATTGCCATTGAATTCTTTTCCTGTGGAAGGAGAGAAAGGATCAGTACAGCTCCCAACAACACAGCAGCAAGCCCAGGAGAGCAGAAGTGATTTGCACACAGAGACTGAATACAAAGCTCTTGAGACAGAGGGAGGCTGCAGTAAATCTCTTGGTTTTGAAAGCACTGGTCCAAAGGTGAGATGGTAAACATGAGGTACTTGTTAGGCTCTCCATAAACCCACAGATATTTTAGTTTAAATGAGATCTGAAGGTTGCAATTTAAACAGACATAAGGATGTTTAAAAGATTTCTGGCCATGTTCAAGAATAACTAGTTTGGATATTCAAACTCTGTTTGTAATTCCAAGGCAGGCAACAAGGCTTTTGTATCATTCAACAACCAGCACAAAACTTAACTCCCAAGTGAGTGTATTTTAAAAGTTCATGTTTTTCAGTCTCAATTCTTCATAGACACAACATTTATCACAGAGCAAACACGACTGTGCCTTACAGAGTCATATTTGCTTTACCCTCCTAAACAAAAGTCAATTTGCATTTTATATAGCAAAATATAACCATCAAACAGCGTGCCATGCCAGCTTTTTTATGCAGTATAATTTCATACCAGATGTAGAGTATGTCCTTTTGTTTCTACCCAGTATCACTAAAATTCTGTGCACACACAAGGTGACAGGAGCAGGCACTTTTCCCTCACCCCCTCAAGTTAACTACTACCAGAGTATCACTGTTATTTCCTGCATCAAGTCTGAAGTGTTTCACATCAATGTATTTCTGGGATAAGCCCGTAATTTTAAAAACCCTTGCTCTTCACTGAGTATATACAAAGCACTCAGCACAAACTGCCATAAACATTCCCAAACTCTAAAAATATCAATACTAACATCACAGGGAATCCCTCCAGCTGCTAACACAGATTACAGCTCTGTTGGTCCGTACAAGAAGTGACATGAACACCATCTCTCACACTTTCTGCAGGGAATGACTGAGGTACAGCAGCAAACCTCCCCAGTTTCATTACACATTTTTGGTCTAAACCACCAGCTGCTGTTTCACCAAATGAGAGGGAAATTCAGCACACAAAAGATCCCATGAAACACAGGTATTTGTTTAAGAAAAAACACAAAAAAAACACCTAAAAAACCTAAAAAATCAAAAGCCACATAAGTAGCAGCACGGGGTCCCCAATGAGGTTATTGATTTGCTTCTTCCACTGCCTGTTAGATTCATAAATAGCAAAAAGAACAGGTACTCTCACCCACCATCAAACCAGTCAATGGCTGCTTTAGCAGAAGGAGGGTCATCAAAAGATACTGTTGCTTCTCCCTTTGGTTTGCCAGTATCCTTGTCTGTGTAAAGATTTATCATAGGCTTGCCAGTCTTTTTGTTGGTCTGAAAAGAAAAGTTGTACACTTGGCATAGGAGAAACACTGCTAAAGTCAGTTCAGAGCTAACACTAAGTATCTTTAGAAAGAAGATTCTCTTGGAGCTGGCCTGCAGAAACAGAGGGATACAACTGAGTGTTCTCCATGAAGTAATGATGGATGGGCTCAGTGTTAAAAAAAATGAGGTCAAGTGCCCGAAATCCCAATTTAGAACTGCAGAAACAGAAGCAGCAGCCTCAGAACAGAGGCACACATGTGAGGGTGTATGAGGATGCTACAATGGATAGAGTGTCAGGGTTATAAAGACTAAAGAAGAGACACAAAGCAATCTAAATGTCACTAGGAAAAAGGTGCTAGTGCTGCCAGCTTACAAATGAGCTGTCAACTGGGAACTCAGATAAAATATTATCTACAACTGCTGGGGAGTCAGAGCGAACTCTGCCTTGAATGATACCAGTACATTTCCAACACACCAGCTCCACAAGTTCTCTTCCTTCTGACCAATGACTTCTCATTTCACATACCTTTATAATACCAATCTGTTTGAAATAGTCTGCCACTTGATCTGTTGAAACATCCTCCCCGAGTCCTTGCACGAAGATGGTGTTGTTATCAGAGTTGTCAGACTCTGAATCTACGGAAAAATAAGCTACATTTACCATGTGTTCCTGTGGTAGCAACAGCAGCAACATTTAAAGCTCAGCTCTGTGTTGCCCAGTAGCAGACCCTTAAATCCCAAAGACATCTTGTGTGAAATAAAGGATGAGCAGGGAGCATAATTTTGAAGTTAGCACCACCAACTTCAAAAAGGCCCACGCAGCACCTTCAGATGCTGCAGAACATCAGAGAATACATTCGGGAGCTGACCAGCTGCCTGCCACGCACTCAACTTCTCCACGCAGCTGGACATCCCAACCCATCAGAGCAGTGTGTGTTTTAAATAACACAAGCTTAGCAGAAGTGTGATGGCAGTGAAAGTAGCTGCTTGGCTCAGGCAGATCCAAAGTTCATCAGCAAATTCTTACTTGCTGCATGAACATCCAAAAATTCCCATGCGCTTTAATAAAATACATTTCTTTCAAGGAAGACATGCTTTAGCTACATTTCTTTTGAGCCACGAGAATTGCAGCCACATCCATCTTTCTAGACACACATTTTATAAGCAGTGACCTAAGAGCTACAATCCACTCCCACTCACTGCTTGTTTTCTTACCAGCATCTGATCTCGGTCCATAATCCCTTTGACCTATGAAATGGATTTGAAAAAAAAAAAAAAAAAAGGAAAGAAAAAAGACTATTTTTAGCAAAGGACTTTCAAGTGACTTTTTTAGCAACAAGAAAATATATAAAGAATGTATGCAATGCATCTAAGATCTAAGACATTAACCAGAGACTTAAGAGAATATTTAGATTTAAACGTTCAACAGAAGGTGTCTGTAGGACGTTAACGTGTTCTTTAACTTGCAGCATGTGGCAGTTGCCACACTGATGCTGTGCTGGTGTTTGCTTGCAAATGCTGGTTGTCAGATCACCAAGCAGTTTCCCACTTTTTTTTTTCTACCTCTAGTACCATTCTAAGAAGCATTTGTAACAAAAATTAAAAAAAAGAAAAGAAAAAAAAAATCCGGTGAACGTCACTGTCTCCACAAATTCTTTCATGCAATTTGACAAAAGTAGAAATCCAGTTTATTGCTACAAGTTTGGCTATTAAAACTCGTGAACACACCAGCCTCACCAAAACTCTATAATGCTTCTACTAGATAGTAACAAGATATTGGTGGCTTTTAGATTTATAAAGAATTTCCACTGAAACATTTTTGGATACTCGGCACTTACCACCGTAATTTTTGAAGCCACCACGGTCACCACCACTGCAGAGGAAAAATTGAAGAAATGATTTCTTCCTTAAGTCTCTACATGCTGAGCCCAAGGCTCAATCTACAGTTAACTGATGACAAGTTGAGAGTTACTGTCTGGCAGCTAAAGCACCATCTCTATGTTCTCCTCACTACCCGCTCACGTTCAAAGATTAAATTACATGAAAGTGAATAATCTCTCAGGGTGCTGCACTGGAGAAGAGAAGCCCTAAGGAGTATTTTAAACCAACCCATCCACATGTTGTTGGTTCAATACTTTCTCCCATCCCACAAGCCAAAATAACTGCTATTAAAATTGGGGTTCAAACAAAAACGTTCTTTTCGTGAAGGTTAATGGGCTTTAATTGTAGATGTAATTGCTACTTTGGGATAATTAGTACTTTAGTACTTTTCTAGAAGTAAAAAAGAGCTAAAATTAATTAACCTCCATTTTTATGCATTTATATACAGGGGATAAATTAGCAGAATCAGCCATTCTCTGAGCAAGGGGCTGTGGGGACCTACTGTACTACAGCACTTGACATTACAGAGAAGGTGTGTGTATGTGAGCTTCAAAAGCAGAGGCCGTGAAGTTTTATTTCATTCATTCTGAAACCTGTGGCACAAAATGTAGACCAAGTTAAGAGATTACACACATCAATTTTCAAAGGTTAGAAGGGGATTTAAACAGGTTGTTATGCCTCCAATTATGTGCATGAAAACAAACCCTCACTCTTTTCAATGGAAAGGTTCGTACTTGCAGGATTTTTCACCACAGCATTTTTAATTGCATCCATGTTATGAACACAATATAATCAATACTCAAAGCCTTCAGGAAAAATACAACCACTGGATTTTTTTAGAAGGTCAATAACCAAATGTCAGAAAGACTATCTCATACTGTACAACTGCCTGCTTGTCCTCCCTCACGTGGGGGGGCAGAGCTGCCACCTCAAAATTAGGCAGGGTGACCTAATCCTGAGAGTTTTCACGCAAGATAAAGGCAGTGTGAGCTCAAACCCTGTTGCAGAGGGATATTCCAGCCTCTGGAGTTGTTGTGCCTCTTCACCAATGCACTTTATGACTAGAAGTCACTCCAGGTTTTAATTCCCTCTGCCCACACAGCACAGTCCAAACACACAAACATCCAGCAAAAGACAATGAAATAAAATTAGGGAGTAACTTCTTTGGTAAAGTCATGAATGGAAGGTGCTGATACTTAACATCTATGAGATAAAATCTGCCCAAAGTGAGGAACAAAGAAATAAGGTTCCAACAGGTTATTATCCAACCCGGATTAAGAGACATTCTTTGGAGGGTGACTGACATTCTGTGACAGTACCCAGGTGTTTGTCAAGACAGGTTACATTTTTACTGAGACTCTTCTTAAAATACGTTTTTGCTGCAGATTTTAATGCTGTTTTACAGAAAAAATCTGAATGCTAAATTGCAGTGTCATTTACTCATAAGTAATTCACTCTGCTCATTAAAGAGGCAACATGAATGAATTTTATATTCAACATCAATGCTGGTCTTTATTCAAGGCTGGCTGTTTTCAGTGATAAAAACACAATGGTGATCATAAAATTTACTGTAAATACCTTTCTGCCATCTCCAATTCACTTCAGCTAAAAAAAAGAACTTCATTATGACACAACAATTTTTAACAGGATGCCTGTTCTTCTGGGATTTTAACTCAGAAATAACAAGAGTGAATAATATCAACCATGGAAACATTATCAAAGTTTTCCAACCCCAGAGTATAGTCCCAATTCATCAGGACAGCAATATCCAGAACATGTTTTCTGATATGAAATTATACAGCAGCAGAGACATAAATTTGAAAAACATAAATCTAAAAACGTACAGAAAATAATTTTCTGTCAACAAATGCAGGACCTTACAGGAAGTGAATATTTTGTAAGATGCTGGGGTAAAAATGTGCACCATGATTCTGTGAAGTGAGAGCTGGATATATAAAATGTAAAGGAAGTCTTAGTCCAATGCCCAATTCCTACCCCTGTGCTACAGTAATTCTGCACCCTGCACTAACAAGTGCAATCCATAATTTTTAATTAGTTTTAATTAATGTCTATAGAAATATGTTTTTGCCCAATTATGTTTCAGCTTAGTCCCACATGGCCAACCCCACAAAAATCTGCATCAGTTCACTGATGATGGATTAATGTTTTCCTATATTTTTAAGTCACATTTTATGTGTGATTTATAAAGCTGCACTGTGTTACCTTCCAGAGATTGCTGGGCAAAGCTACCCAAGATCCCCTGGAATCAGGCAGATCTCCTGCAGCAAGTGAATTCAAACACAGAAACTGGCTGCAAGCAGCTGATGCCACAGTCTCAGATCTACCCCTTCCTGAGACCCAAAATTCAATCTCAGCAGCTGAATTAGTTATTAGTTATTATTGTCCTAAAACATGTGAAAATATAACTGCAGTGTTTCACAGCCCATTGCTTCACCAGGCCTGCAGACAGACAAAGAGATGGGTGACCAGATGGACTTTGGAGTTTTAACATTCTGTATCAGAAACATGAACAGGCAGCTGAAACTCAGCAGTGCCACCAACTAAGATAATAAATAAGAGACTGAACTGCAGGCAGCCAGAATATGATGAGGCACCACTCACAGAGACAAAAACCTGCTGCTGTGAAAGAAATGTCCAATGTTCTTTTCTCCTATACTCAGATTCATCATCACCTACTTGACTGTAAATGGAGTTCATCTGGATATTGCTTACTCCAGCTGGGAACAGCTCTTTAAATTAAAGGCACAGGTACATGGGGAGCTCAGCACAACAGATACAAGAAATGCAGTTTTAAAAAGTCATCACATACTGGCAGAAGTAGCACTAAGAATTCAGGGACCAAATTTCAGCCTCCAACACGTGTCACCAAGTGTGTTGGAGTTACACATAACAGTGTATTTTTACAGGGCACCAGTAGTCACTGACAGATGGCTTTTTTTTTTCTGCCTATATTTGCCTCTGTTCATGTATTTCCAAAGTCTCTGTAAGCTCAAGCATACCTACTACAAGTCAAAATATGAATTGTGAACACAAATCACACAGTGAAAAACATTTGCACAGAGCTGCAGTTTCTTTATATCCCACTAGTTCCCATTCCTAATAGCTGAGACAACAATCAAGCTGCATAGGTAGCTTTTTTTTTTTATAGCACATCAACATAAATCAGTACAAGAGTTAAAAAATAATCTATGTTGAGCAAAGTTGGGATTTCTATGACAAATCCTAACACAGTGATAAATCCTTTCCAAACTGCAGCTGTGTAGTTCACCAACACAGTTTGCACGAGCAGAGAGTCAAAGGCAAAGCTTCTTTCACCTGCTTTGTCTTGCTCCAGTATTTCCCACTTACAGGCTTAACCAGAACAATTCAGTCCCACAACCACAATAAACAATTCATTCCTTATTTTTCAGATGAGGACTAACAAAAAGGTGATTAATCCTACAAGGAGGCTTGGGTGAATTTCATTCTCAAGACCTGCCTTCTAACCAGAAGATGACACTCTTCTGCTATGGGTTTGAAAAGGAGAAAATATTTTACTTTTAGCGACAACACAAATTAGTGAGATCATCAATTTTTCGAGCTTCGAAGCAAAAGGGGTGGGAAAATTCTACTAAAATCCCAAAAGATGCAACTTAAGACCATTAAAAAAATTATTCCATCCCTGGAAGTGTTCAAGGTCAGGTTGGACAGGGCTTGGAGTAACCTGGTCTAGTGGAAGGTTCCCTGCCCATGGCAGGGGAGTGGAAGGAGATGATTTTTAAAGTCCCTTCCAACCCAAACCGTCCTGGGATTCTGTGATTACAGCACTGAAAGTATCTGTGTAGACAAGATTTTTAGATTATTTCCTGATGGCTACGGAATTTTCACAATTTAATGTTAAGCATTAAAGTGTGATCAAAGTAAACAACTGAAAATGATGGTTACTGGAGACTGACTTGATATTCCTACACAGATTTTTTCCCAGGAAATAAAAAAAAAAAATATCTTAAGAGAAACACCCCTCTCAAAAAAAAACCCCACCTGAACCCCACAATTTCAGAGGACTAAACATCATTTCATACCTTATTACAAGTTATTTTCCCCTTGAGTATACAGCTTGTTATTTAATTTGACCCTTTTAGACTTTTCTAACAAGCATGTCTGGTAAAATATGTATGTCAGCAGCAGAATCCTCTGTCATAATTATGCAAAAAGACTGAATAAACACCTATGACACTGTACTTCCAGCAAATTTCCACTACAGATGCTATTAAAGACACCATCACTTAGCAGCAGACAGAATTCCTAATAAATGCCTTCCCATTTTGCTGTATTTTCCCCCACCTCTCCATTCACCTCCCCTCTTTTCCTTCTTTTGGCTTCCAAGTCCACTGAAGGACTATGATCTACATGGATGTGTGACCAAAAGTTTTCTTACATTTTGGAAAAACATGGGAAGAGGCTTTATTTTCACAGACATTAATTAGTTTTTCTTAATCTTGCAAAGGCCCAAGTGTGTTTCCAAGTGACAAAATCTACCAGTGTGTTTTTTGAAGCTCACATTCATTCCTCTTGTTGGAAGGGGCTCAGCTATAAATGGATTTTTTAAAAATCCAGGTTTTCCCACAGGAATATGGAAAACCCTCATCCACACAGAAAATATAATTTTAAAAAAGTAGTTCAGTTTTAACTGAAAATCAACTTAGAAATTATTTTGCTAGTTAAGTTTATATTATACAAGGTACTACATATTACAGAATTTAGTATTATATACATTTATGTTTATTTATATTTATCATATATGGTTTTTATTATATAAATTATGATAGAAAAATTATGCATTAAGTTTATATTATATAAAACCCCAGCAAACATAAAATAACTATTGATATGCTCCTGTCATTGTGCTATCACACCTATTTAGGAGATGCAGGGCCCACCTACATCACTAAAATCAAACCATGAAGTACAATTGGGGAGCAGCAGGCAAATTTCAAATATGGTTTAAAAATATATTGTTTTCAAAAGTACCCAAGTATTGGATTATTTTATTTAAATTAGATCAGTTCCAATATACAGCACTGTATAATTATAGTAGATTTTATCTGGAGTTTAGCAATAACCCAGAGCTGTGCAGCCCTTTGAAGGGCTGACAAGCAACACCTCAAAGCTCACCTGAAGCTTCAACATCCCTGCCCTGCACCAGTGAACACTCTGCACCCTCAACCATTTCAGAGGCACAATAAGGGGAGCCAGCTGGGAGAGTTTATTAATAAATTATATGTCCTATGGCCTAATTCAATAGGCTTTAAAGCAAAGGTCCCAGTCTCAGACCTTTCCATGAAATCATCTGCAAGCACAAAATTAAGTATGTGCATAAATTTTCTTGACAGGGCCCAAGGCAATTGATAAAGGGATGACAGCATTGTTAGTATTTCAAATTTACCCAAAATAAACGTGTTTAGACTGACAGATAAATCAATAATAAAAAATGAGTTCTAATAATCCACAGAAGTATAAAATAGAAGTTCAGAACTGCAAAAACAGCAAAGAACAAGTAATGTTACTACTAAATTATTCCTATTACTGCAAAGTCAAAATACTTCCCTGCTAAAATGTGAGCTACCTTAGCAATGAATTTATTAAACTTTCTCAATCCCTGGCTGTTGGTTTTCTTGCCATTGAAAACAAGGGATGGGCTGGGGTAGTTTTTGTGTTGCAACTCATGCAAACAAAATGTGCCAGAACAATCAAATGCTTGGTCTCAATCTGTCTGAACCTAAGAGCTCTTCCTATGCACAATGCATTTCTGTGCAGTGCAGAAAGGCTTTAATTTTAGAAACCTTCCACTTTTGGAAATAAAAACCCGAATCACTTTAGGAACAGACATATAGTAAACAGAAATTAAGAGCAGCTAAAATCGTTAAGAAACAAGGGTAAGGAAAGTGCAGGCACTGGAAGGAGATCACTTACCTATATCCAGACATATGACCTCTTCCATCCATGTCATATCCCCCTCTACCTCCTCCCTGTGACCCGCCATATCCTCTATTATCTTCTCCATACCTACTCTTTTCACGTCGATCATCTGGAACGATGAGTAAAACAAAGCACAGGTAAACTGAGTGCAAACTGCAGTGCATGAAAACTCACACCCTCCAGTTCCCACCCCTCTCCATTAAGTCTGCCATTTAAATCTGAAAAAAGTATCAACTCCTAAATCTCTCTTTACATCAGCTGTGCCACAAAGCAACCGGGAAAAAAACAAACCAAAGGAACTTTGCTCCCTTATCTCCCTTGGCTTCCAGGGTCACAAGGTATATTAGAATGTAAGCACTCTGTAATTACAGTCCATTTTCCAAACATTAAACACATACTGTCTAAAATGTACTTTTCATCTGGCTTCCATACAGCCTTCCCAGTTTGCAAAAGACATCAGTGAAGACAGAACAGGGATAAATAGAGTGGGTTGTGCTGCTGGTGTGAAGTTACTGCAAAAAAAAAGGCCTCATCTTAAAACTTCTTCTATCTCAGAATTCACCTACACAGCATAAAGCTGGAATGTGAAGTGCAAAAGCTCTTCATGACTGATCAAGACATGTCACCCTCATGCAGGAAGAAGGTTCAAAATAGCTTGGGAAGAAAATTCCATCCAGAATTTGCAGAACACAGGGATTCTGCAAGGCTGCCTCTAACATAAGCAAATGCAATCATTTGGGGGCCCCAAAAGTGTTTCACCCCTGCATAATGCTTCAAAAGTCTTAACAAATAAAACATCCCCCAAGAGTATCAATAGAAGAGCTTTAACTATTCATCAAACAACTGCCTGTGGAAGGAAACCCAACTATTTCCCAGTGTCTCTGCTCAGTTTTATTAGCCAATACTGAATTCAACACGTGAATTTTACCTTGGTTGTTGTGGCTATAGCTTCCCTTCTGAGACTGGTAGGATTGCTGAGAGTGGCCATATGAGCTTTGGTGCTGGTTATAGCCTGACTTTTGGTCGTATGAGCCCTGGTGGCCATAGCCCGACTGCTGGTCATATGAGCCCTGGTGGCCGTAGCCCGACTGCTGGTCATATGAGCTTGACTGCTGGTCGTAAGAGTCTTGGTTCTGTCCATAGCTTGACTGCTGGTCATAAGAGCTTTGGTGCTGACCATAGTTTGACTTTTGTTCATAAGAGCCTCTTCCACTTAAAACAAACAGAATTTGAATTAATAGCTAAATGTTCACAGAACAGAGAGCGACGTAAGGGTTGAAAATTCATGACATTGCTACAATTTCCTGGTCACAGTTACCTCACTACTGGTCTATAGATGTGAAAATACTCTGTTTCATCTCTGTTGGGATATATCTGGCTTCCTCAGTTTCCCCTGTAAAGGTAACTTAAGAGCATCCCTCCTTTCACATATCCCAGTACAACCCTTGCTTTCTCCCCTCTCCCCAGTACCATAAATGGCTGATGGAGAGCCCGTGACCTGCTGAACACCAAATCCTTCTCTGTGGAACTGCAGGGCAGAGCCTCAGAGCTCAGCTCATGCTGTACTGTACAGCTGAGAACTGCTGCCTTAAAAACCCCCAAATCCCCAATTTTGCTTTCACTGAATTGCCACCTCTCTTCTTCTGGGCATTCTACCATTTGTCAAGAGCTTTTCTAACTCCTGTGATGGTCCCTAACACACTTGCAAGTTCTTCTCACTTTAGTGCCATCTACACCAATCTTCATCAGGAACATGGACTAGAAGCACATCCAGGATATTTCCAACACAGTGCAGCTCTACATTCCACGAGGGAGTCGTAAATCTTCTCTGACTAATAACTTCAGAGCAACCACAAGGGAATCTCACCTACACCACACTTCCCTAGGCTACTTCAGCTTCCAAAGCAGAAACAGAAATATTCTGAAAATCCAGATTTATGGGAGAACTGTTCCATCTAGGTTACCCTTTCACAGGAAGACATAATATGGATTTATGAGAAATAAATTGCATCCAGGGAACACTGGCTGTTACTCATTCCTTTGTTTTCCCTCAGGTACTTAGTTGTGCCTTAACTGTCTTATTTTTTCAGCAGTTGAAATCTCTGAGCTCTGCCATCCTTTCTTCTCTTCCTCCTCCCTGCTTCCATCCTTTTTCAAAAGATGAGGCACTAGATATGTCCCGCTCCAGTCTTTGGGTAATATTACTTGCTAGTCAAAAATATCTCAGAAAAAAGAAAAAAAAATTCCAGAGCCTATAGAAAGTTTCCACCAGCTTTTCAAAGCATTTTAAGATCCAGTCCACTGGGTCCAACCAATCTCAAAATATCCCACCTGTGTAAATACCATCTAATCTGCTCTCTCCCAGTCCTAACCTAGATCTCAGCTTTAACCTTGCTAATCCCAGTGGTAAACAGCTTGTGAAGATTTTTATTAATATCTTCACTTCAAAAAGGTCAGCTCTGCTTCAGCCTTTGCACCATCCCCAATGAAGGAAGGATCACTGACAGCATCCACCACTTGCTGCTTTCCCCCTTCACATGTGACAGCTACAATTTTGTGTCCACCCTCCTGTAAGCTGCTACCATTTAATTTCTCAGTTTGTCCTTATTTGTTACAACCACACATCAAAAAGTTTCCCTCCATTGTCTTTTCTTCATTTTCTCGATCGTGAACAGCTTGTTGGAGAATCTACATGCTGCATTTTTTTTCCCAGTGCACATCTACAGAGTTAAAACCCACATTATTACCTCTGCAGAGCTCTAATAAATGCTCAGAAAATAAAGCAAAGCAAAACTTAACCATATTCCTGCCTTTGCTAGGGAAAAAAGACATCCTGAGTGACAGCACCTACTGCTGGCAGATTAAGACTTTGCTTTTTTTATATTAAGATGTTTTGTAATAATAACTACAAAACCAGAAACCAAGTACAGGTTTGCTGAAGTCCAGATTGTTTTATCACCTTGTAAAAAAACCACAAAAATACTTGAACCTTGGACACAAGAATGAGGTTGAGAACATGACAGTGTATTTTAATGAGGTCACATGATCCTCATAAAGCTCCAAGACGAGCAGTAACCTCAGGGTGTACACACAAAGCTTGTAAATTAGACAGTGAAGGTATTCGAGCACTAAGTGGCCTTTCCAGCCGTTATGGGAAGTCAGGTCGTGTTTTCCAACATACTCTCAAAGTTGTATCCTTAATCCTCCTGAAACTGAATCAAATCAAACCAGCACTTAACAAGTCAAACACATCTGCAACAGCACAGCTCTGGATCAGAGTGCAGCGTTTCCATGAGCACACTGAAGTTATTGATGAGGATGTAAAACCACAATGTTTTCAGAATTCTACTCAGCTGGCAAAACGAAAGTGAATTCTTACATGACATTTTTGAACCCTTTATTCTTCCTCCATCAAGAAAAGGCATTCTGAGCCAGATAAGTAGCCTGTAATCTGAGAACAGCTATGAGTTTCCTTGCTAACAGCCTATTTGAAGTTAATAAAAGTAGCACTGGAACTTTATGCAGAAGAATATGATTGGAAAGGTATTTGTTATGTCTTTTTCCTAATCAAAATACTCCTCAAAGTCTCCTCTTCATTGCAAGCACTATCCAAAGACTTTCTAAAGTGTATGTCCTCATACAGCTGGACTTCAAAACAGCTGCATCCATCCTTATATAAAGAAATATTCTTCCTGTACCCCCTCATCTTTCAGGCATTAAAAATGTCTTAAGAATGTGGATTTTCAAATATTTGCCTTTTTTTAGAAATGACATCAGGAAATCTGCTATAGCTCTAGTTAAGAATGTACAACTGCTAGACATTATTTTAAATACATACTGGTAAACTCTGCTTCCTTACCCTCTAGATGACCCTTTCTGCTGGCCCTGGCTGCCATAAGACTGCTGGTTGTATGAGCTCTGATTCTGATTTTCGTAACTGGATTCATCATCGTATCCCTGGGAATCTTGTCCATAACCTGGAAATCGAGGAAGAAAATTTTTAGTCAATATTCACCTTTTAATTCCTGCCAATGAATGTAACAAGCTAGCCAAACCTGATTGATTTTGTCCATAGTTCCCATGATAGCTTCCATAGTTCTGTCCATAGGAGGAATTGTCTCCACTCTGCCCATAACCAGAATATCCCTGTAATTTCAAGAATGTACTCAAATAAGTGTAACTTCCACAGCAGGTAATTACAGTTTTCCTTGGCCAGACACAACTGCAAACATCAAGCACAGCTGGGAATGGAATTCTTCCTGGCCCAGGAACAATTATTTTCACCCAAGGAACATCTGCTTTGAAAGACATGATGTTTTTTTCAACATACCTGTCCTTGTCCATAATTCTGACTGCTCTGATTGCCATAGGACGAGTAGCTGCAAGAGAAAAATGCATTTAGGAAATGCTTACAGTGCCCTTCATACAGATTGGAAAGTAAAGGTATTTTTGGTGTCATTTTAAGTTTCTCTTCATTCCAAAATAGGTGTTTAATCCGAGTCCTGCAGTTGCAGGCACTTTAGAACCACATCAGTGAACTAATTGTTTCCACAATTAGTCCTTCACTGTCAGAAGCCAGAAGAGCTTATTTTAATTTCTGCTGCATTTCAAGCATAAATTTAAACTACATGAAAGCTGGGTTTACTGTAATTTGACAGATTCTTCAGAATCCCAGAAAACTTTTTATGAAACAAAGGGCCTTTATGTTTTTCAGTACATTCTTACAGAGTCAATTTTATTTTAATTACAGTCTGTTTGGTATTTGTTGAACTATCCAAGAATAACACCACCATCAAAACCCACTCTAGTTTTATATTATACTTACTCATTATTCTGCCACTTCAAGCCTTCAGGAACTGACAGAAGAACCATGTGCTGAAACTCATCATGCTCAGACACAAACCCAAACTCAGGCAGTGCTACATGCACAGAACCTTGTGATTTTCATTAGCACACTCAGCATTAGCTGTGATTTTCACACTTCCATAAAAACACTTGTTTCCCTGATTAAAATACGCCCCCAAATTGCAGCTTTGGGCCCTATAATAAATATAATAACCTTTGACTAAAATCTTAGTGAACAGCTTAAGGCAGTCACATGAAAAATATTTCCCTATATTCATATTTCAAAAGATCTATTACGAGATGGCATTCCAATTTACATCTGATTATTGTCCTCTCTTCAGGAATACAGACTGCTTTTTCTTGTTTTATAAGACATCTTGATAAAGGTTCAGCTGCAAGCTCTCTGCACCCATAACTCCAAAAGCATATCAACGCTCTGTCATGCCTGAAGATTCAATCATCACGTTGGGAATATTAAATGGTCTTTTATTTTGCTGGTGTATTTGCTGACAGTAAATAAACCAACCCCACACATACCTCTGTTGGCCCCCAGACTGACTGTAACTTCCAGAATCTAGAAAAAGAAACAAGTCATATTGAGAATTTCCATTTAACGTTTCAGTCCTTTATTTAGTACAGGAGGAAAAAAATGTGGGGAGAGGTACAAAGGTTCAATGCAACTACTTTCCCTGCAGAGTTAGACAGCTTCCTCTTCATTAAGAGAAAATGTTAAGACTGGCATGATAGGAGCACAGGGTGTGGGGGACAAGACACAGCTACAGCCACTTAGAACTGTCCTTCTTGAAAGACCTGAATTCTATTTTTTAAGGCGTCTCTTCAAATATCTGGGACTGCACAACCCCTCTAATGGCTACAGAATATGGTGCCATCATCAACGGGCAGAATGCAGCAGCTTAATTAATCAAGCAAAGCTAAGTAGGTTAGTCTGCTGAACACCTTTTTAAGATGCCCTAAGAAAGCTCTGCCCAGCAAAAGGGCACAGGCACGGGCAGGATGGGGAGAAATCAGGGATGGAGGAGCTGTGACAATTCCCTCTGCTCATACTGCAAAAGGAAAAACGCTGCTGAGAGCCCAGCAGCACGTGACAGAGGCAGCCACCCAGAACACACATCACTCCACCAGAATTCCCACTGTCAGGAGAAGGCTCCAGCTCTCCAGAGGTGCCTCACGGCCCCTGCTGTGGGACCTCTGCACTGCACGGGCTCTGTGGGTCTCACTTTCTGTGCAACAGCCCCAATTTGCTTGAAATTCCCACCTTCTTGTCAAAACACAAACCCCTTCTCCCTGTCTCTACCAGCCTCCCCAGTACTGTCACTCTGGATGACAGTCCTGCAATTTTTCTGTTCCTTTCAAATCACTTAATGAATTTACATAAACACTGTGGGGCTGTGGTCTAATAAAAACTATCAGGAACTTCTCTGTTTTCATCCCTAATTTCAGTCTTTCCTCCATGTTCTCTCTCCAAGTTCTACCTAAAAAGCTGACACCGAGAATTAATTACAATGCAGGGTAAATGTCATAAATGACTATAATCATTTTCCAATCAAAGCACTCATCAAATTGCTGAATCTGCTCATTATCCCTCCCTCAGCAGGTAATAAATCCAATCCTGCCAGTGCTTACACTTAAACACAGGCCTGATGAGGGCATCACTGGAGGTGAGGATGCGAGATGAGGGTATCAACTGAGCTGTTCAGACACCAAGCAGCATTTTTTAGTGGCAAAGTATCTCCTCAAAGCAACACAAAGTATCAAATTTCATATTCTGTAACAGAAACATTTACCAAAAGCTGAGATGAAATAATGTTTCGTTTCACACGTCCTATAAAGCAGTTTTACTCAAATGTGAAATATTCTCTTCCTTTTGCACTGCTACACAAATATTTCATTGTTTTTTCATACTGAAAGGCAACTAAAGCCCCAACGTAGATGTGCAATTCAAATTGATTGTTTGAATGAGAGTAAGGTAAAATTTTTACAGTTTCAATTTAAATGATCACAAAGATCACTGTTGAATAGGTAACCACATTTTGAAGGAAGATTACGGTTTAATTCTAAAATTTATATGCCATTAATGCTGCTAATTAATGCAAAGAATATTAATGGTTGTATCAGAAAGAATTCTTGAGTGAGGATGTAACTAGCTATAAACTGAAGGACTACATTTAATCTCCTGAGCTTCTCCCTAACAAACTTCTGCCAAACCAAAACACTTTGGGAAAAGTCTGAAAGCAACCAGATAAGGAGCCTGCAAAATATGAAAACACAGAATCAGAGGAATTTCCTTTATTTATACGTTTTTCTACATCCTCTGTTGGACCTCTCACAGATTTCTGATCAATTTATTTTCGTGGATACACGTTTTTACTGAATGTTTAAAAAGCTTGTGGAAAAATTTCCTGTGGATGAAGTGGGGCACAGGAGACTAACCACCTTGCAAGGCTCAGGGGGTGTATTCCTCTTAGAAGAATCTGCTGTGTACATTTGAAAACTAAGGTTCTTATATGATGTAATTTATATAAAGAAGTAGAATTGCTTTTCAATATTTTCACCAGAAAAAGAACCTCATGTTTGAACATCAGAGCTAAAAATACAGGAGACAGGTGACTTGACTGGTCAGTAGTTGAGATAGGAAGAGAAAGTGTGTTTAGTTCACAGCCAAGCTTTACTCATTCAGTAGAAAAATCATTATTTGGACTCGTTTTAGTAGCTTTGGACACATTTACTTTCCATGGTAAACAACTGCTCCTTGCCTTAAAGGATTCCTTTAATGGGCTTTGCTTTGTTTGTATCGTCTATCACTCACACATGCAACCTGAGACAACACAAAAACGGCTCGACCCTAACAAAACACGGCTCGCTGCACAAAGCATACATGGCCTTGGAATTCCTCCTCCCACTCTGGGATACGCTGCTACCCACGGCTTGCCAGGGGCAGCGCTGCTGGGGAGACCCAAACATCCAGCCTCAAAGGGGATGAGGAAAGAGCACCAGAACATGCTCGCAGAGGCCCCAGGAGAAGCTGGGCTGTGTCAGGTCACCCGGGAGAGCAGATCCTGCCTCCGTGCTCAACTAAATCCTCTGCTGGAAAACAACCACAGCCAGGGTGTTTTTAAGCCCAGAGTAGGGGGATGTGAAGCCCCGACTTCGCTCTGCTGGCACCCCCCGGGTGTGAAGAGCAGATACTGGGACACAAAGGCTGATCCCTGCGGTGGGAAGGGGAGAGCATGTCCCATGAAAGGGGGTCACGACCCAATGGAGGGGGTGCCTCCATTCCATGGGGGTGCTGATCCAAAGGGGAGCACATAAACCAGGCTGTGGGGAGTGGCAGGACCCCAAAATGGGGTTCACATCTCACACGGGATGAGGGGGGAACACAACCCAAGTCTGGGGTCCACACAATGGAACAGCCATGACCCAAAAAGGGAGCACTCATATATGGCAGGGTACAAGATCCAAAGGGGGGTCCACATCTCACACTGGGACAGAGTGGGGTGGGAACTGCAAGATGGGGTTCACACGGGGGAAGGACCATGACCCACGGGGTTGGGGGGGCCTTACATCGCACACCAGGGGGGTACACGACCCAAAACGGCCTGCAGTGGGGGGCATGAACCAAAATGGGGTCCGCATCTCACACCGGGGGGGGCTGTGGCACGGACCAAAACGAGGGGCTCACACTAGCAGAGGAGGGGGCCTAGACCGAAAAGGGGGGCTGCATCCCACGCAGCCCCCGAGCTGAGGACCCCAAGGGGACTCTGCCCCCTCGCCCCCCCCCCCAGCTGCGACACGGGGGGCGCGCGCCTGGCCACGCCCCCCACTGTGAAGGGGGCGTGGCCTCGACGGCTCGCGCAGCGGGGGCTCCCCGGGGAGGGGGCGTGGCCTCTGCCGAAGGGGGCGTGCCCACGGGGGCCACCGGCGGGGGGGCGTGGCCCCCCTCCCCCTCACCGAGCCTGGGGGGAAAGGGGGCGTGAGGCGAAAGCGACCGCGTCCGTCCCCCCCCCCCCATCACCCCCTCACATATAACATGGCCGCGGGCCTTTCCCACCTGCGCCACATGGCCGCTGGCTTTCCCGCCCTCCCACCGCGCCCGCAAGCGGACCCGCCGCGCCGCCGGTGCGAGGCTGAGGGCCCGGCGGGAAGGGGGGGGGGGGGGGGCTCTGTCGGCACCTACCCGAAGCCATGGCGGCGGCGCTGAGGGGGCGGCGGGAGCGGAGGGAGCGCAAGGACCGACCCGCCCGCCGCGCCGGCCGCGCGCACACTGAGGCACCCGCAGCTCGCGCGGACTGCGGGGCCCGCCGGCCAATCGGAGCGCGCGGCGCCTACCACTCGCCGCGCGGCTGAGGGGGACGGGGAGGGACGGGGACGAGAAGGGCCGTGCCAAAGTACGGCGGGCGGGGGGGGGGTGGTGATGTGTGTGTGGGTGTGCGCGCTTGAGGGCTGTGCGCGCCCACCGGGAATCGCGTTAAAGGATTGAATTCGTTTAATTAATACACGGTCAGGGTGCTCACGGGGAGATAATGGGGTTGTACGCCCCGGCTTTTCGCCCCTCCCTGGCCTTCCCCGCCCCCCGCGGTTCCCTCGCAGCGCCCCGGTTGTGCATCATCGTTTGTGGCAGATGCTGAATGGAGTTTAAAGAAAACATCCGAAATCTGGGTTCTAAAGGAAGGGAAAAAAATAGAGTTTGGCAGGGTTTCTGGTTATCTTTAAAAAAAGGCAAATATCAGCTTGGAGAATGCTCTAAAGAAAGGGGTCATGAGCTTGGGAGCCACTTCTATGGAACGTGAAGGTTTGCTTCAGAGAGGAGGAGTGATGAACTGAGAAGACAGCAAAAGCGACGCTGATTGTTTAATCTGATTATTTTTACAAGTCGTATTTCTTGTTTCAGATCAAGCTGCCTTCTTGTGGGAGTTGGGAAGTTAGCAGTTGCACCTTTCTGTCTAGGGACAGTGTGCACATGCATCAGCTAGGGAACAGTGAAGTTTTACCCTGGTTTTATTTCCAAAGGCAGTGAGGAGCCCTCTCTGATTTCAGCTGAATGTTTTGAGCAGATTTGCAGAGAAGTTGGGCTGTTTCTTCCCCCCTGGGCGTAGCAGCAGGAGGCAAATCCCACTGCCACAGCCGAAAATAAGTTTCTGCAAAACAGGCAGTGACTGGAATGATTAATTAGAAAAAAAAAAAGAGAGAGGGGGGTGTCATTTTGGACTAGATGAGCTCCCTGCCTGTCTTTTGGTTTCTCCTTGAGAAACTTCATTTCCTCTAGCCACGACATTTTGTGTCCTGTGCCATAAGCCTTCCTGTGACAAACTGGGACCTCACAAAGGCTGCCTGTGCAATGTTGGGATTAGGGCAGATCCCAAACAATGCTCCATAGCCAGGGGAGGTGGAGGGATCTTTTGCTGTAGGAGAGCCTCTAGGTGTTTGTGCATTCCTCACGAACTGAAGGATTGTCATAAATGGAAACTGGAATTAGTTGAGAGTTACAAGCTCATGTGTCTGTCTGTCTGCTGATAGATCTGTGCTGTGCTCTCCTGTGGCTCCCAGTCAAAAACTTTGAAGCTGGGATATGGAAAAGACTTCAGCCCTTCAACCCTCTGCTCTTCCCCCTTGGCTGGAAAACAGCAGAGTTCACAGAATCACAGAATCACTGGTGTTGGAAGGGACCTCTGGAGAACATCCAGTCCAAGCCCCCTGCCAAGGCAGGGTCACCCAGAGCAGGTGACACAGGAACGTGTCCAGGTGGGATGCATGGTGTCAACAGATTTTCTCCTTTTGTGCAAATATAGTCTTTTTCTACCACAATATCCACAGCTCCGTCCCCAAATCTCTTCCAACTACAAACTCAAGAACAGATAAAATTGTTGTGGTCATGTGTGTAAAGCAAGCCCTGACCACAGTGAAGGATTTCCCTTGAAGGGATCAGATTAAGTTCTCCCTACTCCATCATCTCCCTGTGACACCTGCAAGAACTTTGGTATCTCCATTTATAGGCTGCCAATTCCTCTCCTAAATCTGACTAAAACTTGCCAAATAGTTAAGCCAATATTGCTGGGGAATTGAAGACAGACACAGAATATGAGCCTCGTGCAGGTTCAGCCTGGTTTGAACACACAGATGTGCAGGAGGGCTGTCCCTCCATTTGCTCCAGCACAGGTGGGAAGGTGCATGTGTGGTGTGGACACTCCTCTCCATCTCCATCTGTCACACATGAAAGGAAACGCTTGTTCTGTGTCCAGTTCGACAGTTCAGGAAGGACATTGAGGGATTGGAGCAAGTCCAGGGAAGGGAACAAAGCTTGTTGAAGAGTGTGGAGCACAAGTCTGATGAGGAGTGGCTGAGGGAACTGGGGGGGCTCAGTCTGGAGAAAAGGAGGCTCAGGGGGGACCTTCTCTCTCTCTAAAACTTCCTGACAGGAGGCTGGAGGCAGGTGGGAGTCAGGCACTGCTCCCAGGCAACCAGTGACAGGATGAGAGGACATAGGCTTAAACTGTGCCAGGGAATGTTCAGGTTGGACATCAGGAGGAATTTCTACACAGAAAGGGTTATTAGACATTGGAAACGGGCTGTCCAGGGAGGTGGTGGAGTCACCATCCCTGGAGATGTTTAAGGAAAGAGTGAATGTGGCACTCAGTGCTCTGGTCTGGTTCACAAGGTGGTGTTCAGTCACAGGTTGGACTAGATGATCTCACAGGTCTTTTCTAACCTCACTGACCCTGTGATTCTGTGATTCCCAGCAGCCTGATTCCCCCGGTGCGGGGGAATGGGGCTTCACTGGCCTGGCTGGGCCTCCCACACCGGAGGGCTGCTCATGGGGAGACCTGGACCCAGCTCAGGTTGGCTCCCAGCGAGACCTCACACCTCCCCACGGGGATATTTTCCCCTTCTGGACAAGTTAAAACCCCCACTAATTAAATAAAAATTTAAAAGAAGGCGGGGAGGGAAGAACCCCACCCCCGCGCGTCTCCATGGTAACGCGAGCAGCGCCTCGCGTTGCCATGGTAACGCCCGGGCCTTCCGGCGGCGGCCGGAAGCGGCGGGCGCGCGGGGTGACAATGGCGGCGCCCAGGGCCCTGCCGGCCGCCGCCGCCCTTACAGTGCTGCTCTCGGTCGGGGCCTCCGCACCCGGGATGCTGCGGGGTGTCCCCGCCGCCCGCTCCGCCGCCGCGCTGCGCCCCACCGCCCTGCGCGACGGGGAAGGTGAGCGGGGGCCGCCCGCGGGGCAGCCGCTGCCTTCTTGGTCCCCCCTGTCTTCCCCCCTCTGTGGGTCCCCCATATCAGACCTTCCCCAAATCCCCGACGGAACCTTTGTGTCCTCGCGTTCCCGGTCTCCCTCAAATCCCCACTGGAGCTTTTGTGAGTCCCCTCTCCGGGCCATCCCCACGTCCTGCTCAGAACCCCTTGGTTCCTCCCCTCAGCCCCCATTTCTGGGCACTTTCTTAAGCCCCTCCCTGAGCCCGCTGCTCCCGCTGTGTCCCACCTCTCCGTGCTCCTTTTTCCTCCCGCTTTCCATGCTCTTCCCTGACCTGGGCACCCATCTCAGCTCCCTTACATCAGGCTGCTCCCCTTTACCCCTGTTTCTGACACTAAGCACAGTATGAGTATGTTTTCAGGATCTTGAAGGATTTGCTTTCCTCGGTAACTCTGGTATTTCCAGTATGATTTTTATCACACTTTTAATTCCCGTGTCCCAGCTCACCCCTGTGCAGTGATTTCCTTTAGCAGTGTGTGGTTTCTCTGAGCTGATGGGTGAAATCCAATATCTCCTCACATTTCTCCATGGGTGTCAGAGACTGAAATGGTTAATGATTTATGCATTCTAGGAGACTTTTACAGGCTTTTGACTTGCATGATACCTCTGATGAGCAGTCGGGCCCCTCCCTCCCTCCAGTGCTGAAGGTGTGAAGCCCTGAAAAGGCAAGAAGCCGAGCTCGCAGGCTTTTGACTGTTGATACATCTGATGAGCAATCAGGCCCCTCCCTCCCTAAAGGCGGGAACCGGGCGAGACACAAAAAAAAAAAACTCAGCACAGACCCTGGAGATGTTGGAGGCTCGAGGCATGACCCGTGATATAATAACTCATAACTTCTTAGAGTATGGGGGCTTCCCCCCTTCACCCCCAGCAGATCAAGGCCACCACTTCAACTGACAGACATGGAAGCATCGCTGGACCCCGTGGGCGGTGACTATATACATCTGTCCACTCTCAGCTTTTCTTTCCCTTACTCTCCCTTGCTCTTATCCTGCCTTTCTCTCCCCTATGCATTTTCTTTCCCTCCCCAAAGGTTATCTCTGTGTCACATTGTTGTATGACAGCACCCAAACTGCTAGCATGCCTGTTAATACAGAATTGTTAGAATAAATCTTGTCAATATATGTTTTCAAACACCGATTATTTAGTGTCGTTTCGCTTTAATCCACCCCAAAGGAATTATTGATAAAACCTGGGTTACCCCCTCTGCCCCCTTTTTCCTGGGGCGGGTCGTAACAATGGGTTATTTTATTTTTCACTGGTGTTTTTCTTTCTGTGGGGCTGAGGTTGGTGGGAGAGAGGTGGAGAACTCTTAGCCTCCATCCTTGCTGAATGCCCAGGAGAACAGCTATCCAAAAGGCCTGGGAGCACTTCTGAGGTGTGAGGTTTGGTGAGAAAAGTCAGCCTTCCAGCAGTTTAAGGAGTGGGGTTTTTGCCAAAATCATTGTTATAATAACATCTATTTTTATGTCTCTTGCCTTCTCTTTTAATGAGACTGAAATATACTACAGGTGCTGCTGCTTTTTTCCAGGCAGCTTCCTAGGAAGCAGCAAAGAGTCAGCCCATATTTTTATGACACCCAAGATAGCACTTCTTTTACTCTATCTTGTTATTTGTGCCTGATTTTAAAGGCCTTGAATTCCTTCTTTTCTACACCAGCATAGAAAGGAAAGCCATAAATTAATCCCTTGGGCTCTCTCTCTCCCTCTGCTCAAGCCTGTGATTGTGGTTTAAAGCAATTAAAAGCTGTGTCTGTCTGTGCTCAGTTCACAGGTTGGTCACCTACGTCTTTGTCTATGAAGACCTGGTCTCCCTGACCTGTGGTGCCGTTGCCATCTGGTACTTTGCCGGCAGCTTTGAGAGGAACGTGGGCACAGTGAAGCACTGCTTCCTCACCATCACCTTCTCCGTGCTCTCTGCCCTCCTCTACCTCCTCCTGGAGCCCCTTGTCTCCCGGGTGTGGGAGGTGGGAGATGCCAAAGGATTCCTGCCAGTGGCTTTCGCCATGCTGGGC